AAGAGGGGGGAGGGAGGGAGGGAGGGGGGAGGTAGACTTACCTTACAAATGAAGAATGGACGGGGGTGGCCACCGCGTCGTCCAGGTCGTCGTCCAGGGCGCTGGCGGCCGCCTGCGCCATGGCCTCCTCCTCCCGCTCCCTCTCGAACGCCTCCACTGCCTCCTGCTCCCATTCAAGGCGCTCCATGACCGCGCGTGCTATCTGCATCTCCTCTTCTTCTCGTATCGATTGCTGTAAGCGCTCTTCTGCGTCTTCCTCTTCGTCATGGGGTTGTTCAGGGACCTCCTCCCTTTCCTTCTCGAGTTCGTCAAGCTCCGTCATTTCTTCTGCTTCTCGCTTCGTGGGAAGCGTGGCAAGAGAGTAAATGGAGCTCGTCTCGTCCATGTAGCCGTCCCCGTCCTCTTCATCGTCATCCAACGTAAGATCGATAAGTTCGAAGTCCATTTTCTGCCAAACACACAAGAAACTTTTTTGCAAATACATAAGGCACTCCTCCAATACCCATGCTCCTCCTTGTTCTGGGTGTGGTGGGACCTCCCTCAGGTGATAAGCGTGGAGGTAGTGCTGATAAGCAGGCAATGATTAAGTACCCGATAGTGTACCTAGCATCCCCAACTGGGGGGGGGGGGGGGGCAGCTAAACCATCCAAGATGCAACTGTCAGTCGAACACATCAGACCTGTTGTGCGTTACACACGGAACCCCATCGGCACCCCCAACATCCTGGTCCGTCCAGTGCCAGGCGCGCCCATGGGCGCGCCGCGCGCCGCGTGCCTTCGCCTAGTGTAAGTGTGCCTCGCGTGCCTGCGCCCTGCCTGCCCTTGCCCCCCCTCCCCGCCGCTCCTCGCGATAATAGGCTATTCCGCTCGACGCGGTAAGAAGAACACAAGAATCACAAAAGCCAAGGGTGGGGGGAGCGGCGCGGGGGAGCGCGGGCCGGTGGGGAAGCCGCCTCGCTACCCCCACCCTCGGCTTTTGTGATTCTTGTGTTCTTCTTACCGCGTCGAGCGGAATAGCCTATAAAGCCCGGCAACCCCGACCTCCACCAGGCCTCCAGACGCAAACAAACAGCGGCAGCGGCGACGGCGAGAGTGCGGGAGGGCACGGCACGGCACGCAGGAGGGTTGGGCAGTGGCAGGGCGTGGCATGGTGGCGTGGACAGTCACAGTGACGCGGGCACGGCGGGGGCGGGGCGAGGGGAGGGGGCGGGGAAAACACATGGGGCTGAGCGAGCGGGCTGCGTGCGGCTGCAGAGGTTGAGGGGGCGCACGTAAGCCGACTCGAAAACTCGTTGTTTTAAATAAAGTTGACGACGGGATTCCTGAAAATCTTCACGTCGGAGACGATGATTCCGAGCCCAAGGGCCCTCGACCCAAAATGATGTTAGCGGAGCATCGCAAGGGGTGAAAACAAGATGACCGGAAGAAATTAAGTAAAACATTTCCGGACCTACCCTTAAAACAATGACGACCCTCCCACCCAGCTGTTCCCGCCAGCAGCAGCACAAGTGTGCAAGGAGTGCAATGAGTCTCCACAGGATCAACCATCTTCATCAATAAAACATTGCGCGTCCCAATAGATATGTACCATAAAATGCAGTAGTAACACAATTGCCATAAGCAGGATTAACAGCACTGGACGGGATTGACAATGAACACAACTAAGCCAGCTGCGAAGCGCAGGACAAGTGCCGGAACCTGCGGAGCGGATATCCTGAAAATGTCCTTAATAAAGGAGAGCCCAACAACACTTAAAGACGGACAAGTTAGCGATAAAATATAATTGAGCAATACCTCAAGACTATTTACGGTATTCCCCTATTTGCCTAACCTAACAATACAGGCCCTGTTTGAAGCGGGTCCCAATAAAATTGCAATTGATAAACAAACAAGATCTATGACAGATCGGCTTTGTACCGTTCCCTGACGACATTTCACCGATCATATGAAAAATAAGCAACAGATGACGAATCAATCAAGCAACAGTTGAGTAGAGAAAAATAACTAAGGAGACTTACCTGTTTGATTGATCACAAATGCACACAATGGACCGCTGATCCTTCTTGCGTTTATCGTTGTACATTCAGGTATTAAGCAACTTCATTTGATACCGGCTTAAAATACTTAACACATGGACGATCACTTGGCGACCTTTCCAAGCAAGGAAATGATTTAGCTTCATTTTTTCTTTCTTTCCGACACACGTCACAGTTCACAATCTAAACTGAGACAGATGTAATTAAACAAAGATCGGCTCACTAAGAGCAATGACAACATTTTCGGAAATATGGCATAACTGCATTTGTCGGTGCCTTTTAGAAATCTATAACGTATCCAGGCACTCATTACAAGTTCACCAACTCAACAAAAAATGGTAGTCGCATTCGATCAAAAAAAATCAGCCAAGTACGATGCTAAATGGCATACAAAGTCCTTTATAAAATATTAAATTACATTTCCTTTAAGGATAAAGATATGTGAGTTATTACTTTCTCACTTTAGCTCTATAAATATCATTTAAAACTGAACTCAGTGTTGGCAGTGAAGCGGCGTGTTAGCAGAAGCCAATTGAAACAAAAATGTTTGAACTGCTTCGGATGGTTCTTTTGTATTTTAATTTGTTTCTAAATTGTTTTAGATTCCATCTTTATACTAAAGTATATATTTTTCCCAAATAAAGACTGCTTTTGGTCATCCCCCATGTCAAACTTTGTTTTAGAGGTGGAATTTTCCTTCGTTAAACCATTTTTATGTATAGCACCTGGGTTTGATTTTGTACCCACACTCCTGAACTGTTCCTTCATGGTCTGCAGCCTGCAGCTGTGAAACATGCTCTCCAACGCAAAACATTTACTGTCGTCGCTTAAAATGATTCTGCTTTTGATTATGATGTGCGACCATATTGTGGTCTTCCCTTAGTGAAGAGCATTTCATAAATACGATTCTATATCTTTAATCTTTATTCACGATCACATTCACTCATAGTCATTTTCTATCATATTCATCACATTCAAAGAAGGAATTTCACCCGTGACTGTCACAGTGACGTCAAAATGGTCCCTTATATGAAGCCCTCCTGACTCATCTATTCTGACTTATGATAGGTCCAAAGTCAAATCTTGGTTCTTGATAGTAGACATTAATGTTGGGGACCATTGACATCACGGTGACCTCCTTGGGATATTACCCGAATAAAGTAACTTCTATCGAGACCTACTATAATTTATGTAAAAGTTAAGGGGTAAAAGAGCGTGACATGATCAGCTTAACTTGACATCCAAGAAACAAATTTAAAATTTGATGCTGCTGGAAGTTGGAATCTGATTGAATCAGCTGATGAGCTGATAAGGCACAGGGTTGTAAACATACACAATGTAGCAAGCAGAAGCAGAAGACCCAACACCTTGTACTTTCTTAATTTTTTACTTTCGTTAATTCGTTTACCTCAACTTAAGTGGTTGAGTTTTTACGAATGTAAAAAATGATCTGACAGATCTGACATTCCCTCCCCTCGGGAAGCACGGAAGCACCCGATCGAAATCAGCTGCTCGGTGCTCGGCTGCTTTGTTCGGAGTTCGGGACTTCCTGACAAATGGCGTAGGCTTTTTGTTTACGTCCTATCCGTCATCGTCTGTGTTTTCCCATTTTTTTCACCGCAATGGCCGATTTAAAGTCATTGGAACATCCAACTTTGAAGGTAAATACCTAAACGTGTAGTATTTTGCTTATTTATGATTAGGGAAACTAGTTTAATCACCGAAACACAACTCTGGTAAGAACAAGGTTTTGTTTTGAATTTCTGATTCGCGTGCTTCTGAAATCGAACGATTTTGGTAGATTCAGATCTCCTTTTTAGTAGCCTGTCACTAATTGTTTTATTGTTTGAAACCCATCCCTCAATTTCCTTCGGCATTTCATAACCTCTTAGCAGTGACAGACACAACAGCACCTTACCTTGGCCACTACAGGGCAATTCTTCGGTTTTGTTTTTGTTTTTGTTTTCGATCCTTTACTACGTTCTAAGTTCTACTCTTGCACGCAATCTGAAATAATTAAAAATTTATTTCGATATTTTAAGGCAATTTAATGAATGATATATTGTTAAACGAGTGTGTTCTTATCATATCACTAATGCAGCCTCACTATGTTATTGTCTTAATTTTTTTACAGGTTCCTTATGAATTGCTGAATAAGAAGTATCGTGCAGCATTGAAGGGTATTGATCTTAAAGTGTCTCACGTTCGTTCAGCTGCATTAGAACTTGAAAAAGGTCTCGCTGCTGAAACAGTAAAAGCTGGAGACATAAGTCGGCTGCTTGGTGGGGTTGCTGAACACTTGAGTGTGATGAAACGAAAGGTGAAGAAAAATTAAATCATAAAATACATGAATAGTTTAAATCTTTTTATTTTATTGACCTTTATATTTGAACAATGCAGGCAGAAGAAAGTATATCAGAGGAACTTCAAGCTGGTTATGTTTGTAAACGGCGCTTGGAACATCTTCGTGAACATGCTACTGGAGGTAGCCAGTGGCGGCGAAGTAGATTAGATCGTATGCTTGTTGAATATTTCTTGCGCAAAGGCTACTATGGAACTGCCACACGCCTTGCAGACACTTCCAATTTGACAAATCTGACAAATATTGGTATGTTAAACCTCATATGTTTTATTTGAAACAAAGAGAAAAATTTTCTTTAATGTTGTTTGTTATTTCCTCAGATGTGTTTTTAGCATCACGCGAAGTTGAACAATCATTAGCTGAACGAGAAACTTCTAAATGTTTGGCATGGTGTCAAGACAATCGCTCAAAGTTACGCAAACTAAAATCAACTATGGAATTTAATCTCAGAATTCAAGAATATGTTGAGCTTGTTCGTGCTGACAAACGAGTTGATGCTGTGAGGTATTGATCTTTATTCTTTGAAAAAAGATTATCCAACTAAACCTAACAGACAACCCAAGTTTATGTAATATGTGTTAATTATTTTAATTTCACTAGACATGCAAGGAAACATTTTTCAAATTTTGAAGATGATCAGCTGCAAGATGTTCAACACTGCATGGCGCTCCTAGCTTTTCCTACAAATACAGGTATCAGTCAATGTTCTTGTCCCTTTTATTCTCTTCAATTGTATCACAGGTAAACACAGTTCTCAACTATTGATCATTACATTTTCAGAGCTTTCGCCATATAAGGAGTTTTTGGATGAAAAGCGCTGGGACCGATTGATTGAACAGTTTCGTCATGAGTATTACCGCCTTTTCCACATGTCCAACCAATCGGTGTTTACTGTGACTCTGGAGGCAGGGTTGTCTGCTCTCAAGACTCCATATCCTTTATCAAACACTTTTCAGAGGTGTAATGCGGAAGTTATCTTGTTTGGTTTATTATTAGTAATTTTGTTTTCTTTACTCCCAAATAATTTTTGATTTTATTAACCTTAACTGAAAGCTTACTCAGTGTTATCGGGGCACAAAAGAGAGAAGAAATCCAAGTTGTCCTGTTTGCAATGAGTCCTTCAATGTTTTAGCATCATCTTTGCCCATGGCTCACTGCTCACAGTCACGGCTGTTTTGTAGTATATCTGGCTTGCCACTCAATGAGCACAATCAACCTATGATGTTACCCAATGGACATGTCTATGGCGAACAGGTAATTTTGCTGCATTTACTTTCAAATTATCTATATTTATCTATCTAATCTGAAGCCATGTGACTGCATTTTAAATTTTCGTCTTTTACAGGCCCTGCAACAAATGGCTGCTGATAATAATGGGAATGTTATCTGCCCCAAGACAAAAGAATCTTTTCCATACAAGAAGGTGGAGAAAGTGTTTGTCATGTAATGTTTTGCCATACAATATTATGTCAGATGTTAGAGTTTATTAATTTCTTCCTTTTTTTCTTTTATCTATTTGTAATTATTGTTCTTCCCATGTCATTACAATTAGGTTGTATCTATGGTATATGACTCACATATTTTATTCTTTTATGTTTTTTTGTTTGTTTTTTGTCTTAAATGAATTGATTTTCATTGTTGTTGTTGTTGCGAGATGAAATGATATTTCACACGTGCCAACAACTATCTGAAACGTTTTTCTCAAACTCTTCCACTTGGCGTGTAATGTACTGTTTCTCAATATAAAGTCATTGTATCGTAATTAAGAAGTAAATGCACTTAAAGTATGTAGCAAATTTATTTGCATTTCATGTATACATTTGATACTGTTAGTAATAATAAATTCAGTGCTATATCTTTTATACCTAGTTTAATGTATCCAAACCACAACCGAGAGTTCATTATGTAACCACTGGCGCCATTGGTATTTTTACCGTGGATATGCGTAGGCCAGGTGAGGGAAGGCTATCCTCGGCGTGGACGTGACTGGCCTGCTTGTGAGGACGGGACAATAAGAGTCTACGATATGCGCATTTTCTCTGGGGATTACCCCTTTTGATCCGTGAGCCGCCCGCCGGGAGAGGGTGAGGGCAGCAGCTGCTTTCATAGGGGGTGCGGGCCGGTGCCGGCGCGGGAGGGTGGCCGGGCCGCGCTCCCTATAAGACTACGGCAACCGCCCCACGGAGGCCACTCGCTTCCTGGAGTGCCCCCGACGAGGTCCCCGAACGCCAGCCAAGCCCGAGCATGCGGATAATGTCGAGAGGCGGTGCAGGGAGCGGGCTGCTGCTGGGGGCGGCGCTGCTGGCCCTGCTGGGGGTGGGCTGGGCCTGCCTCATCACCAACTGCCCTCGCGGAGGCAAGCGGGCCGGCGGGGCGGCGGCGGGTCGGAGCCGAGAGGTAACTACCGCGTAGAGTTAGCAAATTGCCACATCACTCGCCGTGACGACGGCCTCACCCTCTCTGCCGTTGGCGCGCGCAGGTGCAGTGCACGCCGTGCGGCCCGGGTGGAGAGGGCCTCTGCGTGGGCCCGGGCATCTGCTGCAGCCCCGTGTTCGGCTGCGTGCTGACCTCGCGGGGCGGGTGCGGCCGCGGCGCCGTCTTCGCGCCGCGCTGCTCGCCGTCCTCGGCCGCCCTGGCCGCCGCCTCCGCCGCCGCCGTGCCCCTGGACGCCCCCTGCGGCGCGGACCTCACACCGGACGGCAGCGCGCCGGGCCGGTGCGCCGCCCAGGGCGTCTGCTGCACGCACGGTGAGCACCAGCCAAACGACATGTCACAGGTCCCGTAGGTCAAATATGCGGCGTAAATCTTGTCGTTCATACGTCTCTTTGATTTGAAGGACCTTAACAGTGTGGCTGACTCGAGATGGTTTGGCATAGTTACCTTGGGTCACCCCTCCATCCATGTCTCAGTGATCTCTTTCTGCTGCCGCAGACTCGTGCCGGATAGACGCGGTGTGCCAGTCGCGGGATGACAACGACCTCAACGCGCCGGGCTTCGACGCGGACCTCATGCTCACCTCGCTGCGGAGGGTGGTCGGAGGGGGCACCACAACCTGAGGAGCCGCCGCCGCCGCCGCCGCCGCCGCCGCCGCCACCACCACCACCTACGACTGCGTCCGGACCCCAAACAATTTAATTTCCGTCATAAAATAGAATTTTCCACAATAAATTACCTTACATTGTCAATTTTAGCCGTCATTATTTTCAACGCCTCTCTGACTGATCACTTTTTAGAAGTGATGATAGCAG